CTAATTTGGAACAAACCATTTCCTGAGGGATAGAGAGCCACAGCACAAACTATTCACAATTCATCACTGAACTCCCCTTCACTCTGAGGTTATGAAGGAGGTAGATGCAGGAAGTAGAGATGTTTACACTGCCTCAGTAGGAATTATCTCTGTTGAACCGACAGAAGAGGTGCATGATTGGAACTGAGTGAAGGTATTTTGGTGCCTGGTTAACTCAGTTACCTAGATGGCTAATGTGTGGATCAGTTTGATACCAACAGCACAAGGTTTGATCCCCATTCAGGCAGATGCCTGGGGCCTGTTTCTTAACCTTGCACTGCCAATGCTCCCCCACCTTCCCTTATAAAGATCGTAGTATCTTCCTATAATTTGGCAAATAATTGTCTCCAAACAGAGGACTGAAGAAGAAAGGTGGTTTACAATGTAACAGGCCTGGCCTTCCCTAGTTTTGTCCTGTAACCCTCTAGTTTACTTCTCCCAGTTTCTACACTGTACCTGTTGCAATTTATCTTCGTACAGGCTAGCAGGAGTCATAGTTCACTTTGTTGAGAACTAAGAGAAAAATGACTAAAAATCTTAACAGTGTCATCCACTATCTGCAGCTTATTGCTTTCATATCCTTTGGATTTTAATGGGAAATCATTAAGGGAGAATTTCACAGCTGTACTGAGGGAGGACACCTTGCAGAGCTCATCAGCAAGGTGTTATGGGTAAAAGCTCAGGAATAGGAAGGATGAATCACTCTGATGGGGGTGTACTATGGGCCTCCTAACCACCAGTGGTGATAGAGGAACAGAGGTTTGGACAGATTATTGGAAAAATGTAAACACCACAGGGTTATTGTAGTGGGTGATTTTAACTTTCCCTATATTCACTGGGACTCATTTAGTGCCAGGGACTCGGATGAGGGAGAATTTGTTATGTCTATCCAGGATGGTTTTTTGAAAGAGTATGTAAATAATCCAACTAAGGAAAGGGCCATGCTAGACCTTATGTTGAGGAGTGAGACCAGCCAGGTGATCAAAGTTTCAGTGTGGGAGCATTTCAGGAACAGTGACCATAATTCTGTAACTTACTTATGGCTAAGGACCTTGGGTGAAAGTACTAAGTTAGGGGAAGGCTAACTACCACAATATTAGGAAGGAACTGAGGAATGTAGACCGGAGCCCATTGTTAGAGGGTAAATCCAAATCTTGCATGTGAGAATTTTATAAAGGCCAGTTGATTAGAGTTCAGGACCAGCATGTTCCTGTGAAAATGAAAGATAAGGATGGCAAGATGCAGGAACCTTGGATGACGAGAAATTGAGAGCTTAGTCAAAAAGCAAAAGGAACCATATGTAACGTTTAGGAAACTGAAAACAGACAGAGCCCCCAAGAATACAAAGATAGCAGGAAAGAACTCCAACTATGAATTAGGATGGCAAAAAGGAGCCATGGAATGTCTTTAGCAAGCAGGAATAAGGAAAATCTAATGGGTGTTTTATACATGTATAAGGAGCAAGAGGGTAGCTAGGGAAAGGGTGGTCTCACTCAAGAACGAAGAAGGGAATTTATTCATGGAGTCAGATGAAGTGGGTGGGGTTCTTAATGAATGCTTTGCATCAGTGGTCACAAAACAGACGGACATCATGGACAGTGAGTCTAGAGAGAGGTACCTTCTAGCATATGTCAAAATAAAAAAGGAGGAGGTGTTGGGTGTTTTGAAAAGCATTAACATGGACAAGTGCCCAGGACCAGATGGGATCTGTCCCAGAATACTGAGGGAGGCAAGGGAGGAAATTGTTGAGGGCTCCTATGAAATATCTGTATCTTCTTTAATCACAGGAGATGTTTCAGAGGACTGGAACATTGTTCCTTCATTTAAGGGCAACAGAGATTATCTGGGAAATTACATGCTAGTGAGCCTTACTTCAATGGTAGGGAAATTAATGGAGAAGATTCTTAGGGTTAAGATTTACTCACATTTGGAAAAATATGGACTTATCAGCGATAGGGAGCATGACTTTGTGTGGGGGAGGTCATGTCTCACAAACTTGATTGTGCTTTTTGAGGAAGTGACAAAGATGATTGATGAGGGCAGGGCAGTAGATGTTGTCTATGTGGACTTTAGCAAGGTCTTTGACAAGGTTCCTCATGGCAGGTTGCCACAAAGCCAAAGTCACATAGGACCCATGGTGAGCTGATAAGGTGGATACAGAACTGGCTTGGTCATAGAAGACAGAGAGAACCAGTAGAAGGGTATCTTTCTGACTGGAGATCTGTGACCAGTGGTGTTCTGCAGGGATCAGTGCTGGGATCCCTGTTGCTTGTAATATATAAATGATCTGGATGAGAATGTAGTTGTGGATGACACAAAGATTGGGGGAGCTGGAGATAGTGAGGAGTATCAGAGGATACAGCAGGATATAGATAGGCTGGAGACCTAGATGGAGAAATGGCAGATGGAATTTAATCCAGGCAAATGTGCAATGATGCATTTTGGAAGATCTAATGCAGGAGGGAAGTATGCAGTAAATAGCAGAACCCTTAGTATTATCAACATGCAGAGGGATGTAGGCGTGCAGATCCACATTTCCCTGAAAGTGGCAACACAAGTGGATAAGGTGGTCAAGAAGGCATATGGCATTCTTGCCTTCATCAGTTGGGGCATAGAGTATAAATATTAGCAAGTCATGTTGCAGCTATGTAGAACTTTAGTTCGGCCACATTTGGAATATTTTGTACAGTTCTGGTTGCCACACTACCAGAAGGATGTGAAGACTTTGGAGAGCGTACGGAAATGGTTTACCAGGATGATGTCTGGTTTGGAGGGTATTAGCTATGAAGAGAGATTAGACAAACTTGGCTAGTTTTCACTTGAACATGACAGGATGAGGGGCGACCTGACAGAAATTTACAAAATTATAAGAGACACAGGGAGAATGGACAGTCCAAGTCTTTTCCCAGGGTAGAAATGTCAGGTTTTTTTTCCTTTATTTTTAATGGGATGAGGGCATTGCTGACCAGACAGCATTTATTGCCCATCACTAATTGCCCAGAGGGTAGTGCAGAGTCAACCACATTGCTGTGGGTCTGGGGTCACATGTAGGCCAGACCAGGTAAGGATGGCAGTTTCCTTCCCTAAAGGATGTTAGTGAACCAGATGGGTTTTTTCAATAATCGATATTTTATTGAATTCAAATTCCACCATCTGCTGTGGTAGGATTTGAACCCAGGTCCCCAGAACATTACCTGGGGTCTCTGGATTAACAGTCCAACGATAATACCAGTAGGCCATCACCTCCCCTTGGGTATTAGGGGGCATAAGCTTAAGGTAAAATGGGATGTTTAAAGGAGATGTGAGTGGCAAGTCTTTTACACAGAGGTGCCTGGAATACACTGCCAGAGGAGATGATGGAGACAGAAACAATAGCATTGTTTAATAGGCATCTTGACAGATATATGAATAGGCAGGGAATTGAGGGATACAGACTGCATAGAGCCAAAAGATTTTCAATTTAGAAAGACATCATGCATTAGCACAGTCTTGGTGGGCTGAAGGGCCTATTCCTGTGCTGTACTGTTCTTTGTTCTTTTATCATTAGTTGTATTAACTTACCCACTTATACTTTAATTATAGACTTCCCTGGCAATGCATATCAATCCTCAAATTTAATGAATAATTTTAATGAGCTTATGTTTCTCTTAAAATTGACTGGGAAATGAGTAGTGTTGAGCTAGCGTCTGGAGGTAAGGTGCTGGACTCTCTTCTCAAAATGGTAAAGTACAACCAGTGAGAATTCCCACTGTTCAGCTTGCAGCTTGACTCTGTATCCAGTTCTGGTCAAAAAGGCATCCAAGCACTGGGGCTGGTTCAGAGGAGGCCCACAAGCCTGTTCCCGAATTACAGAAAAACTTCACATTTTCAACTTTTAAAACAGCCCCATTTGAAACATTACAGCACTGATATACACTGTGAAGGGAAAACTGAAGGATCTTTTGGCTCATTATTTAATGAAATGGTCTCTTTCACCTTTACTGATCAAGCAATTACGAATTAATCAAATTGCTAATTAATGAAAATACACACATGCAATGAGCATTGCACAGTCGGGCTGTATATTCAAAGGGTATAGAAACAATTGCTGCTGAGTAAAGTTCCTTCTATCATTTCCTCAATATCCTACCTCAATGTCTTAAATAAAGAATAATATCACTAACAGCAATTATCTTGTTTTGAATTAGGTTTATTTTCGGCATAGATCAGAATTAACACATGTAAGTTACTCTTAACGTGAGCTACTTGTGATGGTATCCTTAGTAAGCTATTGTGGTTTGGAAACAGATACGGATACACTACCTCAAAACCAGCAATCTTGGAACCAAAACCTAAAGAACTGAGGACGCAGTAAATCTGAAACAAAAGCAGAAATTGCTGGAAAAGCTCAGCAGGTCTGGCAGCGTCTGTGGAGAGAAATCAGAGTTGATGTTTTGGGTCGAGTTCTAAGGAAGGGTCACTCAATCCGGAACGTTAACTTTGATTTCTCACCACAGATGCTGCCAGACCTGATGAGCTTTTCCAGCAATTTCTGTTTTCAAACCTTGGAACCAAGGTTGATTTTAGTTCAGGTGGCTTGCGCTGTTGGGAGTAGAGGTCAAACCAGGTCAGATGGGTCAAGGGTTGCTTGAAGTGTTGGAAAGTGTGTAGAACATAAAGTGGAAAGCCAGTGACTAGTTTAGGCCTATTCAGGGCTTAGCTGAATTGTCCAGGTAAGTTATTTTATTGAAGTATTTTACTTAATTAAATCAATGCATGGAAAACTCTAAAAATGTCTGGCTTTTGGACAACTCTGTTTTTTTTTGGACAGCCAGATTTAAAATACTCCTCCTGTTGCACCATTGAAAGTTGAACATTGTTGAGGAGAATGAAGGCGATCCGATGCATGATGTGGCTGCTGGTGCTTATTAGCTTCAGCATGAATTTTAGCCTTGAGTATTTTTGTGCCCTTTTGTATGCAGGAATTCAAATCTATTGGAGAGTCCCATAACAGAAAGGCCCAGCCATTTCTTGCTGCAGGAAACATTGATGACAAAAGACAGGTAGTGAGTGCCACCTATAATTCTCCAATTGGCCTATATTCTGCTGGCAACATACAAGATGCCATCCAGGGACAACTATGTGGCCTGGCCATTGACCCACAGGAGAAGTAAGTATAGGGTTTGAATTCAGCCAAGTCTCTGTCTTAAACTGGTCTGTCTTTGTTCTGCCCAGCTCTTGCTATTTGTACCTTCTGTGTATAACAAAGTGCATTCTCCAATAAGCATGTGTTTTGTGGATTAAACCATTTCAGAAACAATGAAGCAGTTTCATATATTGAATGACAATGGTGAAATAAATCAATGAACAGTAATTTACTACATTAAATATTTTGGTTGACAAAATCAAGCAATTCAATGGTAAAGGTTTTTATGGTTAGATCCACATTTTGACATGCAAAGAGCTAATATTATTTAAGCAACAGGTAGGTTTGAGTTTGAAATGAATAAAATGAGTAAAGGTCCTATTTTTGTGATGAATAATAACATTATCATAGAACATTATGGAAACCTTGGAATAATCTCTCTTATTCGGATGCTTAGAAGTTAAATATGATTTTGTCCAATCATTACAAAGCAAGATTTTATTTCAGGTATCTGTGTTATCTTTAATCATTTTTCCATTACAGGAACTAGGCTACTTTGAACACAAGTTCAATGCCAGGCCCAAACCTTTCTCAGTAGTTTCCACACAAAGCAGGTTTTATGCTTTATCTTGGATAGACTGCATGTGTTTCTGGCTTGATTTTTCTTTCTGACAAATGCAAGGGAAGTGCACATGGTTCAATATGCAAACATCCTTTAAAAATACACCCATTTAATTAAGACAGTTCGACAACTTTGCATGAATATGGAGTTTCAAATTTTGAAATTTACTTCATTGAGTACAACATATATAACAAAGCGCTTTTTCCAATGATATTCAAGTCGTTTTGGTATAATTTTAATGTTATTCATATACTTGTGCATTTATTACTTTTTTGCGCTGCATGTTTCCATGATGCTTAATAACAACATATAAAAATTGATTTGCAGAGTGTTTGAGGTTTTCAAAGGAAAATGTGCTTTAATCCCTTGATCTTCTCACATTAAAAATAAAGTGCACACTTGAATTGTCTCTTACGTATTCATCTGCATTTGGCAACATTGTGTTGATTTATTATTGCTTATAAGTTCCATGACAGCATGTTGTACAAAGCTTTGTTAATGCTTGAACCTGTGCTGTTGCATGTCAAGTAGTTTGTATTTTTGTTCGACACCCTGCCTAAAGATGAAAAAGCTCAAAGTAAAACCCAGAGCTTTGGAAATCTGAAATACAGATAAAATATAAAGGAAATGCACAGCGGATGGATTGGCACATAAAATATGAAGATGAGATAACAAATCCATGCTGAGTTTCATCTGAACTGTTAAATTGCCTTGCATTTTCTGATGCTGATCTATCTGCAATGCATTTACGGCATTTGATGCAAGACTAATTTTAATTCATTATGTCGCATGACTACACTGAGACTATATAAATAGAAAGGGTAACAAATAAATCTCTTTATTTGGAGCAACATAATTATCATCGTGGTAGCTGAGCTATTTATTTTCATGTATTGTAAATAATATTTGACATTAATCCAATTGCAGCTGACTTGTGTATAAGCGACCTTGCATTGGCACTGGATCCATTTTCTGGAGAATATCCTAAAAAAAAATGGTGCTGGATTTAACAGTATCCCTCAGGACTTTTACTCACCCGTGCTGGATTTCATAAAGGCAAAGTGAAAATTCTATGAGATATGTGCCATTAACTGTATTTGAACACAGTATTATTTTAGTGATGATGATTCAAGATTTTACCCTAATGTTTCTCTCATACCAAATCTTAACAATGAAAAGTACAAATACATTATTAACATAAAGTTTTAAAATTATATTGTTGGTCATATGATATCTACAATCGAGGAACAAAACAAATCCTTCTCGGTACCCCAAAATGTACTAATTAAATATATATATATATATATATACATAAACCTGATGCACTCATACATTTCCTATACTAAAAGATACATTCATAAACCTGTTTCCTACTATTTAATTATTCAGTGCATTCAAAAGCATGTATGATTAATGTTGTACAGGACAAAACTTCATCATTGCTGCATTAACACAGTACATCCACAAACTGACCATAACAACAACTTGAAGTTATATGTCTTTAACATTGAAAATGAATAAACTGAAAACGAATATACGCATTTTACTGAGGCATGTTCAGACAAATGTGCACAGTGAGACAAAAGAGAAGGTTATAAGAAAGGCAACATAATTTCAACATAAAGTTCTCTTTTAAGTAGGAAAGACAGAAACTTTTAGTTACAAATTTCAGAGCAAAGGAACTGTATGAACTTATTATGCTACTGTATAATCACAGGAAAATACTAAATGTACTCCAATATTATTATAATAATACAATATTATCCTGACATTAGTATTAGTATAATGCTAATACTACAGAGGTCCATACAGCGCAATGGATTCCGGAACTGTAAGTCAATTCATCGACACATTGATCAGAGCCTCTGGATGGTTGTGCACCTTAGAAGGAACATTAATTAGAGAGAAAGATCTGTGTTCTGCAAAACTTGCCTAGCCAAGCTATTCCAGTACAGCTATAAGTCTGGCATCCACCCAACAATGTGGAAAATTGCCCAGATGCGTCCTGTCCACAAAAAGCTGGACAAATCCAGCCCAGCCAATTACTGCCCCGTCAGTCTACTCTCAATCATCAGTAAAGTGTTGAAAAGTGTCATCAACAGTGTTATCAAGTAGCACCTGCTCAGTAATAACCTGCTCAGTGACGCCCGGATTGGGTTGCACAAGAGCCACTCAGCTGCTGATCTCATTACAGCCTTGGTTCAAACATGGACAAAAGAGCTGAATTCCAGAGCTTAGGTGAGAGTGACAGCCCTTGAAATTAAAGCTTTCATTTGACTTGATGTGGCATCAAGGAGCCCTAGCTAAACTGCAGTCAATGGGAATCAGAGGGAAAAATCTCCACTGGTTGATGTCATACTTAGCAAAAGAAGATGGTTGTGGTTGTTGGAAGTCAGTCATCTCAGCTCCATGACATCTCTGCAGGAGTTCCACAGGGTAGTGTCCTTGGCCCAACCATCTTCAGCTGCTTCATCAATGACCTTCCCTCCCTTAGAAGGTCATGAGTGGAGATGTTCACCAATGATTGCACCTCATTCATCACTTCTCAGATACTGAAGCAGTGCATGTCAAAATGCAGCAAGATCTGGACAGTATGCATGTTTGGGCTGATGAGTGGTGTTAGAATTAGATTTAGGTTTATTGTCACGTGCACTGAAGTACAGGAATACATGAGCACGGTGAAAAGTGCACAAAGTTTCCATTACTTGCACCAACATAGGTACAAAAGTATCTTAGGTATAAAATCTTAGATATAAATCCGAAAAAAAAGGATAAAAGTTCAGCATTACAGTCCTTCTAAAGGAGGGAGTCCACACTGGGCTTTACCTCCAGGCCAGGAGTCCGCACTGGGTTTCCTCGAGCCCAGAAGTCCATGCACTGGGATTCCTTAAGTCTGGGAGTCCCTCAAGTCCATGCTGGCTCAACTCTCCACCACTGATGCCATTCTGAAATGGAGTTAAGTAAAGAGAAAAAGAAAGAAGAAAAAGAAAAAGAAAAAAAACACTCACGAGAAGAGGAAAAAGAAGGAAAGAAACTGTTGGAGCGGATGAGCTCCAGCTTAAGAGCCCTACTCCATCGCCATTTTAATCTTGACTAAGTAACATTTGTGCCACAGAAGTGACAGGTAATGACCATCTACAGCAAGAAAGAATCTAACCATAGCTCCTTGAGTTTTAATGGCATTTCAATCAACAAATCCCCTCCCAGCAACATCCTGTAGGTTACCATTGACCAGAAATTCAACTGCACTGGTCAAATAATTGCAGTGGCTACAAAAGTAGATCAGAGTCTAGGAATCTTGTAGCAAGTAATTCACCTCCTGACTCCCCAAAGCCTATCTACCATCTTCAAGGCACAGTTCAGGAGTGTGAAGGAACGCTCCCCACTTATCTGGCAACACTCAAGAAGATTGACACTATTCAGGACAAAGCAAGCCATTTGACTGGTACCACACCCACAAAAATCCATTCACTCCACCATTGATGTTCAATACCAGTATACCACCTACAAGATGCACTGCAGAAATTCACCAAAGCTTCTTAGACAGCACTTTCCAAACCCACAATCAGTACCATCTGGTAGGATGAGGGAAGCTACATGGGAAAACCATCATCTGCAAGTTCCCCTCCAAGCCACTTAACATCTTGATATGTAATTATATACTGTTCCTACAGTGTCGCTGAATCCCTCCCTTACAGGTTTATCTAAACCAAATGAACTGCAACAGTTCAAAAATGCAAAATAAAAACCAAAAGAACTGTGGATGCTGTAAATCAGAAACGAAACAGAAGTTGCTGGAAAAGCTCAGCAGGTCTGGCAGCATCTGTGAAGAAAAAATCAGAGTTAACATTTCGGATCCGGAGTTCTGAGGAAGGGTCACCCAACCCGAAATGTTAACTCTATTTTTTCCTGCACAGATGCTGCCAGACCTGCTAAGCTTTTCCAGCAATTTCTGTTTTGTTTCCTGATTTACAGCATTTGCAGTTCTTTCGTTTTTTTTTATTACAGTTAACTCATTAACTTACAATTGTGCCAACTACATAATATGCTCATTAATTTACTGCTAAATTAATTGTACAGTGCATATATTGACTTAGCACCTTACTAACATGATCAGAAAACCTATTGTACAAATGTTTGTTAAATATTGACTTGAAATAATTAAGGAAGAAACATTTTTTAAAGTCTTTCACTTTACAACCTATCAAAAATGCACAGGGACTCAGATTTCCTTGTACATTGAATCAACATATTTTACCCATGAAAAGGATAAATAGTGATTGCTTAAATCATTACCATAGAAACCTTGGAAATAAATGTGTATTTTTCTATAATCTGCACATCTTATGAAGTTACAAAGTGAAACCCATGCACGTAGGGCAGCGATATGGTTTGCATTGAA